ATATGCAGGCAATACATTCATACATATAAAAATAATAAATTTTTAAAAATATTTTATTTTTATTTTATGTGTATGAGTGTACTGCCTGCATGTATGTGAGTGCACCCATGTCGTGCAATGCTGCCGAGGTCAGAAGAGGGCTTTGGATTCCCCTGGAACTGGAGTTAAGGATGGTTTGGAGCCACCATGTGGGTGCTGGGACTCAAACCTGGGTCCTCTGCAAGAGTAGTTAGTGCTCTTAACCGCTGAGTCATCTCTCCAGCCCCCAAATAATATTTTTTAAGTTATTGCATGACACGAGTGCACTTGCATGCATGCAGGCAATACAGTAACACACATAAAAATAAAATATTTTTGTAAAGCTAATTAGGTAACTTTATTTTATGTGTATATGTGTTTTGCCTGCATGTATATAAGTCCAACCATGCATGTTATGCCCGAGGAGGCCAGAAAAGGGCATTGGATCTCCTGGAACTAGAGTTACAGGCAGTGGTTAGCCACTGTGTGGGTGCTGGAACTGAACCCGGGTCATCTGCAAGAGCAGCCAGTGCTTTTAACCACTGAGCAATCTGTCCAGCCTGTTTTTTCTTTCTAAGAAAAGGAAGAAAGAAAAAAAAAAAAAGAAGAAGAAAGCAGGCATGGTGGTCCCAGCACTCCAGAGGCAGAGGCAGGCGGATCTCTGAGTGGAAAGACAGCCTGGTCTACATAGTGAGTTCCAGGCCAGCTGGGGCCCTAGGGAGACTCTTGTTTCAAAACGACCAAAAAGAAAAGAAATGCAAAAGGCTAAAACTTAAAAATTCCTTGAGTCACTTATTTTAGCTAAATATCTTTTCATCATAGTTCTGTGAGTTATTAAATCTTATATAGCAACATAAAGAAGAATGAGGTCTTTGTTTTTGAGATACAGTCTCACTACGTAGCATGGGCTAGCATTTGACCTGTGATTCTAGCCTTTCGAATGCTGGGATTACAGGTGTGCACCACCACACTGGGCTTGGAAAGATGCTTCTGTCACTGCACTGATTTCCTCAGATTGGAAATCCAAGTTTCTCTCTCAGAGCAGGTAACCCTAGAACTAAATTTCCCACCAGTGACCTCTCTAAACAAAGACAAAGGAATGAAAATATAAACAGGGAGGTTGAAAAGTCAAAAGGAAATGCCAGATTCCCACACAACTTCTAAGGATTTTTTTCGCATTTCTTAAAATAGTGAAGTGAACCCCACGCTGCTTCATTTCCTTCTACCCTCTAACTCCTCTTTCCAGTCTCACATGGAGTGAAAACAGAAACCAAATAAACATCTGATCCTTTCCTCCACGGTTATAACATTTCTACTGCATTTACTCTGTGTATTAGTTTCATTCTTTCAAGTAAAATTGGTGTTTGATGAAGAAAGGTGGCTAGCTCAACTCCAGCTCAATCATTCAACTGTTACTAGTGCCATTTATTTGTCCCCAACCCCCATGAAGTAATATCACAAGTTGTTTGTTTATCCTCCTTTGGTGCTGGGGATCCAACCACACAACCATGCTTTGCCACAGTGCTATGACCCCAATCCTGATTGCAGGTCTATCATGCAATAGCAAAAGCTGAGAGTCAGCTGACCTGCCCAGGGTTCCAGTGCATTTAAACTGCAAGGTCTTGCTAATTCTGACAGCCAAGTTCTCTGTCTTGAATTCACAATGTTACTTCCCTATTATATGAAAATTAACTCTGCTCTATTACTATTGGTTGATTTGACTATTTTTTTTATGTTGTTGTTGTTAGGAACATTTTTCTAAACACACAAAAGTAAAAAGAAATAGAGCACCTGCCTAACATGTGAGAGGCTCTGGGTTGAATCAACAGCACTATAATAAATAAGCAAATAAATAAACAAATGAGCACGACACACCCCCAAGTACCTATCACACAATTTCAACAATTATGACACATGACCTAGTCTCCCAGGTGTCATGCCTTCTTCCAAACTTCACTGAATTTTTCAGAGCCAAAACTGAAATATCACATAATTTCATTCATAGATACCTCATTATGTTTCTTATATACACATCTAGCTTCTTACTAGATGCATATGCATACATTCTTTGTACATTATACTGACATTCATATGTTAATAAACTTTGTATTCCTAGGAACTTACTCATGGTATCTAATTCTTTTTATATAATACTGTATTCAGTTTAGCTGTATCTTACTGAAGATCTTTTTTTTTTTTTTTAGAGACGGTCTCATTATATAGCCCTGAGTGGCCTGGAACTCCGAATATAGACCAGACTGGTCTTGAGCTCAAATAGATCCACCTGCCAAGTGCTGGGATTAAAGGCACACACCATCATGCTTGTCTTTGTTGAAGACCTTTGTGTCAATATTCACAAGAGATATTCAGAGGTATAATGTATATTGGTAAACGGTGTTGTTTGAACTTACTGAGAAGTTGGTTCTGGAAGTGGGAGGTTCCCCCACCCCCCATTTTGGGCCCAAACACGTTTATCTCAAAATGTCCTCCAAAGTCTGGGGATGGGCTTGTCCCCCTAACTCTGTGATAGGGAGGGAAGAGATCAGTAAAACAACGAAGAGCAAAAACACTGTGCCTTGAGAACAGCCAGAAGGTAAACCACTTCCAACAGAGGTTACTATTATTTATCCCATGATACAAAAGTCTGCAGTGGAAAAGAGAAGCTGGACGTTCACCCATGGGAAGCTCACCCATGGAGAGAAAGCTCAACTGTGACCTTGAGGTGACTTCCCCAGTCATTTTCTGTTGGATGTTTGGAGTACCTAATTTGATGATAATGTTGTCTTTCTTCCCTGTCTTTTGATATTTATTACTCACTCATTCCAAACCAAAAAATATGGCAATCACAGATCATTCTCCAGACTGTACAGAAAGTACTTATGTGTTTCACTTATGATGCCTTTTATCTGGTTTTGGTTATTCAGACAATACCTGCCTTATAAAATGAATTGAAGCTGTTACCTTCTATTTTTTTAAAGCAGTTTGGAAAGAATTTTAAAATTTAAGAAAAAATCTAAAATTCAATTATACCTTCAATTTAAATGTTTGCATACATCCTGATTTTTGTTGTAATTTACATTACCATAAAACTCACTTTGAAAGTATACAATTCTCTGATTTTCAATATATCTATAAGGTGCAATCACCATTATATAATTTCAGAACTTTTTACTACCCTAAAAGGAAACATTGTTCAAACCACTATGCATTCTCCTCTTCTCCAAGCCCTAGAAACTACTAATCTTTGTCTACAGACTTGCTTATTCTGGTCTTGTGATATGAGTGGATAACATAATACATGTCCCTTGTGTCTACTTGACTTACTCACTTAGCACAGTGTTTTCAATGTTCACCCATATCGTAGCATGTACTAGGATTTTATTCCTTTTTAGACTGAACATTATTGTATGAATAGACCACATTTTATTTATCTACCCATGAGCTGATGGACATCTGGTTTGTTTTCATTTTTAGGCTACTATGAATAATGGTGCTATGTACATTCATGTTACATAGGCATGCTTTTTAAATTTTTATTTACAAGGCATGTGCCATCACACTCTCTGATAGCTGACTTGTAAGGAGTAAAACTTTTACTTCTTTTAAGGTGCATTTAAATTTATTAAAACTTGGAGCATGTGGGCTATGGTACAGGTTTATGGTTCTATTCAGGCAACACATAAAAACAGGTATGGTGGCACATCCTTGCAATCCTGGCACTTGGTAGGTGGAGGCAGGAGGATCACACATTCAAGTTCATCTTGAGCTACACAGTGAGCTTTAGGCCATCCTGGGTTTTAGGAGACTATCAGAAAAAGAGAATAGGGGAGGGAAGGGAAGAACAGGGGGAAAAAAGGAAGGTACTAACCAAATCAGGTTTGCGTAAGATATATTTGGAAATAAATTAATGGCTAAGTAGCCAAAGCATGTTTTAATTTTCTGGTGATAGGGTGTACTGGGGACCAAATCCAGGGCTCTCATCCTTAAACATACTAGGAAAGTACTCTACAAACTGAGCTACACTCACTGCCCTGTTTTGGATTTTTTTGAGACATGGCCCTGTTAAGCAGCTCAGGCTGGCATGGAATTCTTAATTCTCCTCCCTCAGTGGAGTGCTGTAATACAAGCACATACCACTATTCCCAGAACAGAGCTCTGCCAGCACACGTGAAACCTGATTTTTAAGGAAATTTTTATGATAAGCAAGACAATGAAGTTTTTATCCAACTATTTTGAGTTACTGACTCTAAAAAGAACAAAATAATTGGTTTCATTTTATCCATGAGATGAGAATTCTCTCCAGCTGGGCAAGTGACACATGCCTATAATCCCAGCACTGCGGAGGCTAAGCATGGCCAGCCTGGGATGCACAGCAAGATGCTTTCCAAAAGCCAACCAACCAACCAACCAACCTCTAAAACAAAATGTAACCCCAACTTAAATCTTTCTAATATTCTCTTAAAGTCAAAGATGTCAGGAATTACACCTTTTATAGTAGTAAGCCATAAAAAAAGGTCAATTCAAATACAGCAAAAATGTGTCAGCCATTGTTTTTTGTTTATATTATTTATATTTTATGTGTATGAGTGTATTGCCTACATGCATGCAAGTGCACCTGTGTCATCAGAAGAGCACCCAAAGATCAGAACAGGGTGTCAGATTCCCCTGGAACTGGAGTTAGCTGCCCCTAGGATGGTTGTTGTCCATCATGTGGGTGCTGGGAATTGAACCCGGGTCTTCTGCAAAAGTAGCCAGCGCTCTTAAGTGCCGAGCCGTCTCTCCAAACCCAGTAGTCCTGTTTTTATACACATAAAGTTTTCAATATATCACACAAAATGTAAAACAGGGTCAAGATAATTACCCTGAACAGGATCCATAAATAGGTATCTTCTAAAAAAGTCAAAATGCTATAAATATTCAAGTCATAAAGAATATTCCCACTAGACTGAGCACATTAATCATGATTTCAGGAGACTACTCACAGGAGAAAGTTTCTGAATAAGGTCATGGGCAACATGGACAAGGTTCTTATCTTCATGGAGACATTTCTGAAACTTTTTGCTCTCTTCATCTTCTAGAAGGTCAAAATCAATAGCAGCATCCAGTAAGGCCTGAATTAACCCTTTCCAGGATTTCAGGGCTGGAACCTGTGGTGCAACTGCGGCACTAATGCCTGTTCCAATCACCAGCACAAGTTCCCGAGGCTTCTTAGCTTTTAAGCTTGGAAGTAGCTTCCTGAAAAAGGAAAGCATGCAAGAGGATTAGAACATGAGGCCTGTGGACTACTTAACTAAGGATGTATTTATTTGGCTTTCACTATGTGACAGCTACTAACTGTCAGTTACAAAGATGACAGACACTGGCTGCTGGGACTTCTCCAAAGTAGCTTCAATAAAAGACCAGAAGATTATGTCAGTTTTTGCTGGAAGACAAAGTAATAAACTATTTCAAGAATCTCTCCAAAGCATCTTAAGATCAATTTTCTCCATCACAGTCCTCTTAACTTAAGGAAAACCATGAACAAAAAGTTCAAATGTTTTGTAGCTTAGCTGAGTTCTGCCAACTAAATACTTTAAACCAATATTAATTTCAAAAGGAACATGTCTGATTTGTTTTCCAAAAGAAAATATTTTCATATAAATTTAAGTTCAAATTGTTGAGAAATCTAAAAGAACAAAGTAGGTCAATAAAATATTTAACTCCCAAATTTCATAAGCGACGAAAAAACGAACCACAAGAGCCAAATATGGGGGTCAAATCTGTGCGTGGTTTTCTTCTAAATATCACTGGGCCAAAAAAAAGTGTGCAGCGGGATTCTGAAAATATGAGCTTCACATACTTAAATAAACAAAGGATGTAACAAGACATCCCTTTCTTACCAGGATAAACACTGATTCCTGTTCTGAGGCACTGGTGAGACAGCATGAGTCCAAGTTTGTTTCAGAGCCTCTCTCCCCCCTTCTACTCTAAGACTGTATTAAAATCAGTACTTGCCTTTACCAACTCTTTTTTCCAAATAATGAAACAAACAGAAACAGGATTGGCATGTAGGCAAAATCCAAGAAAGAGAGAGCACTCTGAAGCCCTTCTTAACATGCTCCAGGGAGGCGATCTTCAGAATCGTCTTTCCTACTCTCATCTTTTATATTCTATCATTCATCAAGTACCCGACACAGTGCGAGCCCTGGGGATGGATCTATGTATAAAACAGCTTGTCTACTGGAAAAACCTGTGATGGAGTACGTGTCAGTAAGAGGAATCAAGTTGGCGAATGAAAGCCTTGTGATGTCTCCTGTCTGCCGTCCTGGAATCTGGGAGGTGGAGGCAGGAAGATCAGGAGGGTAAGGCAAGCTATATGAGAGCCTGTCTCAAAAAACAAAAACAAAACAAAAGATAGTAGATGATACACACACACACACACACACACACACACACA